CTTAAATCTCTCAAACCAACCTTTGCTGGCCTTAAATTCACTCACATCACCACTAGTTGCAGGCATTTTTCTAATTAAATCCTCATGCAACTTCTTAGCCTTTTCACATATGATTGCTTGAGAGATGCTATCTCCTGCTCTGTTTTTCATTTATCCACACCAATAACAGTCTCTCAACATCTTCTATCACTTGTGATCTCTGTTTCGAAAACAAACTTACACCTTTTGCAAGAACAGCTTCCTTGATTGCCATTTTGTTGGCCATGATAGTAGCGATGGTTGATTGGGGTTTGGTATACAACCTGGCCAGCTCCGAGACACGCACTCCACTTTCGTACTTAGCCGTTATCTCTTTCTTCATTTCCATAGTAATTTTCACCCTTTTCCCTTGGGCCCATGGTGACTTATTTTGCAGCTACAATCACTAAAAACACTGTGATAATATGAAATGTACCGAATGTGTGTGTGGATGCGACCGCACTGGCTGGCTTGTAAACACTGGCATGCACGGGGCAGCTGAGGCCACGCGTGGGACGTGTCCCAGACGAATCGCGTGAGGCGAGGCAAAATTTTTGCATTAAAATGTATTGTATGGCGGATTTAACGTAACACGATGACATCGTAAGGTGGGGGTTCACTGTATTTCCCATAAGAAATAATGTAAATGCAATTAATCCGCTCCAGACACCCAAAAATATTACAAAAAATACATTTTATAGAGAATAACTATAGTTTTACATACAGAAAACAGTGAGAAATAAATATGAAGCACTAATTTTAATGGATATATGAACATTTAACCTAGGTAGTAGGTTGGTAGACAGCAACCGCCCAGGGAGGTACTACCGTCCTGCCAAGTGAGTGTAAAGCGGAAGTCTGTAATTGTTTTACACGATGGTAGGATTGCTGGTGTCTTTTTTTTTCTGTCTCGTACACATGCAAGATTTCAGGTACGTCTTGCTACTTCTACTTACACTTAGGTCACATTACACATACATGTACAAGCATATATATACACACCCCTCTGGGTTTTCTTCTATTTTCTTTCTAGTTCTTGTTCTTGTTTATTTACTCTTACCTCCATGGGGAAGTGAAACAGAATTCTTCCTCGGTAAAGCGACAAAAATGCCAGGAGCAAGGGGCTAGTAACCCTTTCTCCTGTATATATTACTAAATGTAAAAGGAGAAACTTTCGTTTTTCCTTTTGGGCCACCCCGCCTCGGTGGGATACGGCAGGTGTGTTGAAAGAAAGAAAGAAAATGAACATTTAAATCAGTTTTACCTTTATTGAAGACTCTTGTTGGCATATTCTTTACGAGATCCGCATGCAACTGCCTTGCCTTTTCGCAAATTATCGCCTCCACAACACTATCTCCCGCTAACTGTTTTTTGTTGATCCACACCAACAACAACACCTTCTCAACATTTTCTATTGTTTGCCATCACTACCACTCTCTACCACCATCACTACCACCATCACTACCACCATCACTACCACCCTCTACCACTATCACTACCACCCTCTACCACCACCACAACCACTACCACCTCTACCACCATCACAACCACTACCACCATCACAACCACTACCACCCTCTACCACCATCACTACTACCCTCTACCACCATCATAACCACTACTACCCTCGACCACCATCACTACCTCCTTTTACCACCATCACTACCTCCTTTTACCACCATCACTACCACCCTCTACCTCTGTAGAGGGTGGTAGTGATATTTCTCCACAAAACTTTGCAACTCATTCTACAAGTTCTTTCTTGAATTCTATCGTGTTTCTCACCTTTTTTACCAAAGGGCTGGCACTCTGAACTTTCTTTGGCCCTATGGTGGCTTATTTCACAGTCGCAATCAATAAACAAGCACAAAAAACAATGGATGAATGCACGGAGTATTGCTAACTCAATGAGAGGCAGACTGAGTCTGGTAAGATAAGATAAGATAAGATTTCGTTCGGATTTTTAACCCCGGAGGGTTAGCCACCCAGGATAACCCAAGAAAGTCAGTGCGTCATCGAGGACTGTCTAACTTATTTCCATTGGGGTCCTTAATCTTGTCCCCCAGGATGCGACCCACACCAGTCGACTAACACCCAGGTACCTATTTGCTGCTAGGTGAACAGGACAACAGGTGTAAGGAAACGTGTCGAAATGTTTCCACCCGCCGGGAATCGAACCCGGGCCCTCCGTGTGTGAAGCGGGAGCTTTAGCCACCAGCGTCACTCCGACACCCTGACAAGACGACTGGAAAAACATCTCATTTATGTTAATTTATTCTACTGTGGGTGTATTTATCAATAGTAGATGCCAGGTGGCCTTAAAACAAAACAAGATATAAGTCATAATTATAATATACTTGCAGCCTTGAAACTGGTTAAAAAATATAAAAACTTTCTGCCACTCCAGCCTCAGCCTTAGAAAATAACTTGGGTCCCAGTCCCTGGACCCACTGAATGGAAATGCGATGCATAATAAAGCTATTGAACTACAAGTGAGGTAGATACAATAGATAAAGATCAACGAGGCTGTGATGGATATGTCAGGCAGCGGGCCTCCAGCAGCAACAGCCTGGTTGACCAGGCAAGCACTAGATGAGCCTGGCCCACAGCCGGGCTCCGAGAGTAGAGAAACTCTCGAAACTCTTCAAAGGTATATCAAAGGTATTGTTCCATATATATTACAATAAACTAGGATTTACAGTCTCAGGTAGTGAACTCTTTAACTTTGAATTTTCACATACCCTAGCAAGTGTATGTTAATGGACTGAGCAACAGTGCTACATAAAAAATAACAGGATCACATAAACCAGAAACACAAAAAAAAAATTTAATAAAATCAAATGTGTAGGGAGCTTCCAGCCTTAATAATATTTCCTTCATAATATACTTAACTAACCTAGGTAGTAGGTTGGTAGACAGCAACCGCCTGGACAAGCACCTAAAGTCGGTACCTGACCAGCCGGGCTGTGGCTCGTACGTTGGTTTGCGTGCAGCCAGCAGTAACAGCCTGGTTGATCAGGCTCTGATCCACCAGGAGGCCTGGTCACAGAACCGGGCCGCGGGGGCGTTGACCCCGGAACTCTCTCCAGGAGGTACTACCATTCTGCCAAGTGAGTGTAAAACGAAAAGCCTGTAATTGTTTTACATGATAGTAGGATTGCTGGTGTCCTTTTTTCTGTCATAAACATGCAAGATTTTAGGTACGTCTTGCTACCTCTACTTACACTTAGGTCACACTAGACATACGTGTACAAGCATAGTGGACCCCCGAGTTTTGGCAGCATTGACTTTCATGAAATTAGACTTTCGGCAAGTTTTTTTGGCAAAATTTGGCTTCGAGTTTCATGATTAGACTCGTGATTCGGCGACCGTCCGGTACCCGTCCGCCCGTCACCGCGCACACAAAGCCAGTCTCCCACGCCATTCACGCCCAGTGTGCCATTGTTTACCAACACGTGACCATCACCCCACAGGTTCATATGTAATAATCCATTTTTTTTTATTGCAACTGCTAAATAAGTCACCATGGGCCCAAGGAAAGCTAGTGCAAGCCCTTTGGTAAAGAAAGTGAAGAACACGATCCAGAGGGATTTTGAAGGGTTTGAGACCGACCCTGACCCTGCCAACCCTCTGCCTGTTGTGGAAGGTGTTGTGGCATTGGGCAAGTCCATGGGGTTGGAGGTGAGTGACGGGGATGTGAAAGAGTTGGTGGAGGACCACAGGGTAGAGCTAACCACTGACAAACTGCAAGAGCTTCAACTGGAACAGCATCAGACCACAGCTGAGGAACTTGCTTCAGAGGAGGAGGAAAAGAGAGTGAAGGAGGTGCCTTCTTCGGTGATTAAGGACATGTGTTCAAAGTGGAATGAGTTGCAAAGTTTTGTTGAAAAGTATCACCCTGACCAAGCTGAAACAAGCCATATCTGCAACATGTTCAGTGACAAAACCTTGTCCAACTTCAGGTAAATCATAAAGAAATGCCAGCAACAGACCTCTCTGGACAGATATTTTGTGCAACAGGGGTCCAGTGACTCCCAAGTTGTTCCCAGTGGCATTAAAAGAAGAAGGGAAGTAACCCCAGAAAAGGACTTGCTACCTGAACTCCTAATGGAAAGAGATTCTCCTTCCAAACAATAGTGTACACCTTCCTCCTATCCCCTCCTCCCATCTTCCATCCACCCAGAAGTCTTCAGTAAAGGTAAGTGTAATGTTATTATTATTTTTTATATGCATGTACTTGATTTCTGATTGTTTTCAGTATGTAAATCTTTATTTAATTTGAAAAAAATATTTTATTTTAATATTTTTGGGTGTCTGGAATGGATTAATTTTATTTCCATTATTTCTTATGGGGAAAATGGTTTCGAGTTTCGTTAATTTCGACTTTTGGCAGGCTCTCTGGAACGGATTAATCACGAAACTCGGGGGTCCACTGTATATACATACATACCCCTCTGAGTTTTCTTCTGTTTTCTTTCTAGTTCTTGTTCATGTTTATTCCTCTTATCTCCATGGGGAAGAGGAACAGAATTCTTCCTCCATAAGCCATGTGTGTCGTAAGAGGCGACTAAAATGCCAGGAGCAAGGGGCTAGTAACCCCTTCTCCTATATATATTACTAAATGAAAAAGAAGAAACTTTCGTTTTTCCTTTTGGGCCACCCCGCCTCGGTGGGATGCGGCCAGTGTGTTGAAAGAAAGAAAAATACTTAACTAAATGCACTGAAATTTGATATATGGTCTTTTCATGTAAGTGTGATGGGCTCTGTTTGGTACAATTTTGTCAAAAGTTGATCTTGATGTTGGTTTTTCTGAAGTACAGTTTTTTTTTTTTATTCAGATTATGAAGTCAAAATGTTGTTTTTCACAATTTACTTTTTATTTTATAATTACTTTCTTTGGTAGCCCACAGTGTTATTGTCTGTTTTTTATTAATTTTTATAAGCCTTAATATAAATACAGTTTAAATCTTTTCCTTTAACAGGATCCTTCATACCAGAAGTTTTGGATTGACTTTAATCTTGGAAACAATACCATTTTACTTTTGTGCCGAAAGCCATATAATTCTGAAGCAGATTCATTTGTTGAGGTAAGTATTTTCTTTTATATTTTGAACACTTGTAAAAACTTTGTTTTCTTCCCATCTTCCTATGATTCTTGATGTCACAATACAAGAGTTTGGCTGTGAAATATCGTGATGTCACAATACAAGAGTTTGGCTGTGAAATATCTTGATGTCACAATACAAGAATTTGGCTGTGAAATACATTTGTATGTATATGTTATTAGTGTTCATATTACTGTACAGGAGGGCTCCACTTTACAGCACTTTGCTTTATGGTGTTTTGCTAATGCAGCAGTTTTCAGTTATACCCATTCTTCATTTATTCAAGACTTCCTACAATAAATATATTCATTGTTCACTTTAAGCTAAGGATAAAAATGTTTTAAGGTATGTGATGTTTGTACTGTATATAGTGTAAACATGTTATCAGGCTTTTATATGCATTAGAAAGTGAAAAAGGGCTGTGTTTCACTTTACAGCAGTAGCCCAGAACCTAACCTCCTGTATAAGCAGAGCCTGCCTATACTAAAATACTGTCCTGTATAAAATGTTAAAGCCAACTTGTTTGGTTTCATTAGCCTACAGTGGAAAGTGTTAACCCTTTCACTGTCCAGACCCCTGAAATTAATATTTCTCCCAGTGTCACACAAAATAGAAGATTTATTCTATTTCCCTGATAATAAAATATAACCAGGGATAATTGATCATGGTTTACAACATCTCAGTAATTGAATCAGACCTATTAAAACCCATAAACTGCCCAATTTCAAGCTACTTCTGGTCCTCAAATCAACGAAAATCATTTATATTTCAGTAATGTGTTTCCATTCTATCCAGCTCCAACTAATTCTACTGAAGTCTCACTCATCATTAAATCAGTAAAAAACAGAACACAGGAGGTCTAAATAACTTGCCACTATTCATTTATAAAAAAGCAGCTCATGTGCTGTCACCCATTATTGCAACACTGTTCAACAAGTCTGTCAAGTCCTCAACCTTCCCATCCACACTCAAGACAGCAAGGGTTACCCCGATGCTTAAAAGAGGTGATCCAACTGATTTGAACAACTATAGACCTACTGTATATCAAACTTGCCCTTACTTTCTAAAATATTTGAAAAAATATTACACAAACGACTTTACTTCTACCTTGTATCCAACAACGTACTTAACTCCTGCCAATTTGGATTTAGACCAAAGAAAAGTACAAACGATGCCATCACACAAATGCTTAAACTAATGTATACAGCCCTCGATAAAAATGAGTATCCACTGGGGCTCTTCATTGACCTACGGAAAGAATTTGATACAGTGGACCACAATCTCCTGCACCTAAAACTAAATTATTACAGCATCAGAGGACATTCTCTCTATTACCTAAAATCTTACCTCAACGATAGACACCAGTATGTATATGCAAATTGAGTCAACTCCACTATCCAGCCTGTAGCTCTTGGAGTGCCCCAGGGTAGTGTTGTAGGCCCACTCCTCTGTCATCTACATCAGTGATCTCCCCAATGCATTTCAACTCCTTAAACCAGTTCTATTCGCAGATGACACTACTTATGTGTACTCCCACTCAAACCCAACTAGTATACTTAGAGACACTGTAAACAACGAGCTGCTGAAAATATATACTTGGATGATGACCAACACACTCACTCTGAACGTAGACAAAACATACTTCATGCTATTTGGAAACAGCCTTAAATATCCAATTTAACATATGTATAAATAGTTCTCTTATTACAAGACACACTGAGGGTAAATTTCTAGGTCTTCTCCTTGACTGTAATCTTAAATTTCACTCCTATATCCAACATATATCCAAGAAGATTTCCAAACCAGCAGGCATCCTTTCCAAGATACGATACTATTTCTTTATTTCTTTGCAAGTTTACATTGAGATTCTGTTGTTACAATAATGAGTTGCAGTGCAAAGAGAGCCACTATCATGCCACAGCATTATGGGCAGAATAAATTAATGGCTTACAGACTACTTAATACTAGAGAAACTCCAAACAGCACTCATTACCCTATACCACTCTTTAATATATCCCTTCTTCACCTATGGTATTTGTGCCTGGGATTCAACCACAGCTGCCCACCTTAAACTATTTAATAACCCAACAAAAAGCTGCTGTGCGGATGATTACAAGCTCCTGTGCCAGACAGCACGCCCCACCACTTTACAAAAGCCTGAATTTACTGAATGTACAAGACATACACTTATTATTATTGTGCCTACTGTATAAACAGAACATTAAACTCCAATATAAACCCTCTGCTTAAACTTTTCCTTGATAGCTACAACAGAACACAGTCACAGTACAAGGCACAAGGCACTCTTTGACATCCTTCATGTCATCTCACATGCAGAAATGCAATACACGTCAAGAGCCCAAAGATCTGGAATACACTACCTGAACTGATAAAGGATCCCCTGACAGCACATAAATTTAGGGCTATGCTTAAAAATCATCTCATCTCTCATTATTAACCAAACCAACCAAAATGACTCTTAACCAGTTTGATGCAACTCCCAAATATTATATGTATTATATGACCTCGAGTCTATTAAAACATCTGCCAATCCATGAAATATTACTGTTTGAACCATTAATTGTAATGTTGTTTTTATTATGTGCAACTTCAAAATTCTTTCTTTCTTTCAACACACCAGCCGTATCCCACCGAGGCGGGGTGGCCCAAAAGGAAAAACAAAAGTTTCTCCTTTCACATTTAGTAATATATACAGGAGAAGAGGTTACTAGCCCCTTGCTCCCAGCATTTTAGTCGCCTCTTACAACACGCATGGCTTACGGAGGAAGAATTCTGTTCCACTTCCCCATGGAGATAAGAGGAAATAAACAAGAATAAGAACTAGAAAGAAAATAGAAGAAAACCCAGAGGGGTGTGTATATATGTGCTTGTACATGTATGTGTAGTGTGACCTAAGTGTAAGTAGAAGTAGCAAGACGTACCTGAAATCTTGCATGTTCATGAGACAGAAAAAAGGACACCAGCAATCCTACCATCATGTAAAACAATTACAGGCTTTCGTTTTACACTCACTTGGCAGGACGGTAGTACCTCCCTGGGCGGTTGCTGTCTACCAACCTACTACCTATAACTTCAAAATTATTATTCTTATAAACCTCCACCTTGACTACCTCACATTAGTATTAAGATAAAATAAAGATTTATTAAAAGTTAACCACCCTTATCTTGTCTAGATTTAAGTACTAATGATGTATTAGGATAAGTCTGCCTGAAATGCCACAGTATGGTAGTGGCTTTCATTGTACTTAACTAATCCAAATTGTAAATACACATTGTAACCTTGCAAAGAAATAAAATCTTTATCTTTATCAGTGATACCAAGAAACAATCAATAAAACCATAAAAGTCATCCTAGAAAACACCTCAAAATTGCTATTTTAAACCAAACAATTTTGTTTTTCCCATGATGCACAGTGTGGGACAGGATTTTTTTTATACTATGCACACTCCCTGCACAGACCCATTCTTTCTCATTTTGCCTCTATAGATAATGTTCTTTGTTTCCACAGATTCCTTAGGTCACCACACCTTTTTCTCCCTCTATAGTTCATTTCATCTTTCGTAGACCCATCCACTGATAAGTCTGCTCCCAGATATCTGAACATGTTCACTTCTTTCATACTTCCTCCTTCCAATCTGATATTCAGGGCATAGGATGTACACTTTTTAAATTAAAATATTATTCATTTTTCTCTGTACAGCTTCCATGGGAAAGTTTGACACTTGAAGAGGAAGATATGAAGACTGTTACTTTAACACGCACCATTCATGTTTACTCACTTGAAATTGTCATGAAGAAATTGGACACAGTATTAGATTTGTTTGTTTCACCACTATCACAAGAATCTCGATGTCTTTTGTCAGAGACTTTTCTGTTGGAGTTTTCCCCCCTAGAAATATTGGAGAGACTTTGCACTCACATGTTTGGTGAGAAATTCAAAGTAAGTTGGTTGCTCTTTTAAAGTCTCAAATATTTTCATAGAATCTGGTATAAAAGCCTATATATTTGTATACTGCTAAGACAGATGTGTATAGTATCAGTACTGGGTAGAGGAGCATGTCCAGAAGTTTTTTTTTTTTTTTAACACCAATCATCTGAAGAGTAAGGCACATAGCTTCTCTAGGAATCTTTATTGATGAAGTATTTCACTTGTGCTGCAGGCTTCATCAGTAAATTACAAAGACATCAGCACTGGTGAAAGACAAATTGAAGAGGTAATTAAAGTAATCAGTTCATTGCCATTTGAACAAGATAAAAAGTCTTAACCTTATCAGAAGTGGCCAGAGTTTTATTTACTGGAAAGAGATGAGTAGCAGCTTGGAGATGAGATCACCAGTGTTATCTGTCTGACACTGCAACACCATGCTTTCTTGGTACCGGGATGTCTTCAACAACTCTGTTTCTAATGGCTGTGTATCATGACCTGCTTCACTAGTGGGCCCAGCAAACCAGTGACCTCATCTCCAAGCATCTACACCTCACTTTCCAGTATATAAGCCTCTGGCCACTTGCTTTTAGATTAAGAAAAGAGATTTATTAGCTTGCTCCAAAGGTGATGGACTGATTACATCATCTGCCTTTTCATTTCACCTACTTCATTTTCCACCTGTGCTGATTTTGCTGTAATTGACTGATGAAACCTGGAGCACAGGTGAAGCATTTTACCAGTAAAGATTCCTAGAGTTGTCCATGTGCCTTACTCCTCAGCTTATCAGTATGATATACCATTTATAGCATGATACACTAGTCATCTCTCACTAAGACAGGGTGACCAAAAAATTAAAAGAGGAAACATTTGCTGATATTTAATCTCTGTCTTGCCAGAAGGTGTATTTATTAAAATTACAGTATTGATTTTGATAATTTCACAAGGCTGTATCTGAGTGCTTCTGCAAAGACAGTAATTATGTGTGAATGATGGTGAAAGTCTTTCTTTATTTTGTGGGTTATGCTGCCTCATGGGGAGACAGTCGATGTGTTGAAAAAATAAAGGTGTAATTGGAAAACCATTGAGAATGTGTCTTTTTTTGGGTCACCCTACCTTGGTGGGAGATGGCCAGTGTGTTAAAAAAGACAGCAGAAGAGGTTGTAATAGGGTTCAATGTCAGTGGGTTCAAGTTTTTGTTAAAAGTCATTTTACTATCTTAACATTGTCAGATTACCGTTTGTTTTGTTTTCCTTTGGTTTTTTCTTTGTTTTAAATCATTTTAACAAATTGTAGTATTTCAATGAAAATGCCAGTTTTATTATTTTTTTTGTTTTAACTCAGTGGTTGTCTCCTACCAAAGCTGGGTAACCCAAAGAAGAAAATGTATTTACCATCATTCATTCAATTACTGTCTTGCCAGAAGCATTCTGATATCACATTTCAGATTACCCTCTTGACTGTAACATCCCCACCCCTTCAGTTTGCAAGCGCTACCTTTCCCACTTCTGGACCTCAAGTTTGACTAACCATTTTCCCTATTGTAAATTGTACTAATTAAATTTTTTTTTGCTACCCCTCTACTATAAATTTTATTAATTATGAAAAACAAAATTCTAACCGAAAAGGTTGGAGGGAGGGGGTAAAGGAGGTTTTGTGGGCGAGGAGGAGCTTGGACTTGCGCCCAGCAAGCATGTGTGAGAGTGTTAGGAGTGAATAGAGACGAATGGTTTTTGGGACCTGACGAGCTGTTGGAGTGTGAGCAAAGTATAATAGTTCGTGAAGGGATTCGGGGAAACCGATTAGCCGGACTTGAGTCATGGAAGTGGGAAGTATAATGCCTGCTCTTTTAAGGAGGGGTTTAGGATATTGGCAGTTTAGAGGGATGTCTAAACTGTCGTATCTGAGTGCCTCTGCGAAGACAGTGATTATGTATGAGTGATGGTGTTGAATGATGATGAAAGTTTTTTCTTTCTGTTTGGGTTTTTCTTTCTTTTGGGTAACCCTGCCTCGGTGGGAAACAGCCAACGTGTTAAAAAAAAATAAATAAAAATTTACAACTCAGTAACCTATGTCTAGTTTTAAGTTGTCTGTAAGCATTACCATTAATTTGGCCTAAATGCTTGTGCATTGTAATGGCTTTCTTTGTACTTAACAGTATTTTATTACATGTAAACTACACATTATATACTACACAAAGAAACAATAATTTTTATTTTTTTTTAATGAAGGTTACCTTACACTTAAACAGCACATTCATTAAAAATTATTTGCCCCCATTCACTTCTTTAAGATGTGCTCATATGTTGTAAGATTTGTGCATAAGCTATTTATAAGTTTGAAGTTTTCTCTTGTATGTACAGTACTAAAATGATTGACCCCTTGGAATATAAAGTGGTTGGTCAGCGATTTTATTAGATATAAGAAGGCCTAATGTAATCATAGCATGTTTTTAAATTGCTCTTGCAATATTTTATCTGTTATGTTACTAGGTTGTTCTACTGGAACCAGAGGGATGGGTTAATATTGCAGCAAGGAATACCTCTGCTCAGAGTGGGGTAAGTTGCAACTCTGTATAGTGGCAAGTACATGTAACCCTTACACAAAGCTCTATATATATATATAGTGTGTGTATTTTACCTGAATTTAGGTAGTCATACCTAAAGTCTCTCACTTTTCATTTTGAGATTACTTTTAAATGTTGCATATTTTATATTTTCTTCAGCAGTTATAAATGCGTTAATTGTTTTAGGAATACTGTGTAAGCCACAACTAAAATGTACAAACACATTTTTTCACTATTTTTCAGGAACCTGCTCAAACCAGTAGTTCAAACAGAAAGTACAGAAAGAGCTCCATGAATGTTCTTCATTGTAAGACTAGTAGCAGTAGCACATCAGATCGTCAGGTATTTTTTTTTTTTTTTTTTTTTTTTTTTTCAACAAGTCGGCCGTCTCCCACCGAGGCAGGGTGACCCAAAAAAGAAAGAAAATCCCCAGAAAGAAAATATTTTCATTATCATTCAACACTTTCACCACACTCACACATTATCACTGTTTTTGCAGAGGTGCTCAGAATACAACAGTTTAGAAGCATATACATATAAAGGTACACAACATATCCCTCCAAACTGCCAATATCCCAAACCCCTCCTTTAAAGTGCAGGCATTGTATTTCCCATTTCCAGGACTCAAGTCCGACTATATGAAAATAACAGGTTTCCCTGAATCCCTTCACTAAATATTACCCTGCTCACACTCCAACAGATCGTCAGGTCCCAAGTACCATTCGTCTCCATTCACTCCTATCTAACACGCTCACGCACGCTTGCTGGAAGTCCAAGCCCCTCGCCCGCAGAACCTCCTTTACCCCCTCTCTCCAACCCTTTCGAGGACGACCCCTACCCCGTCTTCCTTCCCCTATAGATTTATATGCTTTCCATGTCATTCTACTTTGATCCATTCTCTCTAAATGACCAAACACCTCAACAACCCTCTTCTGCCCTCTGACTAATACTTTTATTAACTCCACACCTTTTCCTAATTTCCACACTCCGAATTTTCTGCATAATATTTACACCACACATTGCCCTTAAACAGGACATCTCCACTGCCTCCAACTGTCTCCTCGCTGCTGCATTCACCACCCAAGCTTCACACCCATATAAGAGTGTTGGTACTACTATACTTTCATACATTCCCTTCTTTGCCTACATAGATAACGTTTTTTGACTCCACATATACGTCAACGCACCACTCACCTTTTTTCCCTCATCAATTCTATGATTAACCTCATCCTTCATAAATCCATCCGCCGACACGTCAACTCCCAAGTATCTGAAAACATTCACTTCTTCCATACTCCTCCTCCCCAATTTGATATCCAATTTTTCTTTATCTAAATCATTTGATACCCTCATCACCTTACTCTTTTCTATGTTCACTTTCAACTTTCTACCTTTACACACATTCCCAAACTCATCCACTAACCTTTGCAATTTTTCTTTAGAATCTCCCATATGCACAGTATCATCAGCAAAAAGTAACTGTGTCAATTCCCATTTTGAATTTGATTCCCCAAAATTTAGTCCCACCCCTCTCCCTAACACCCTAGCATTTACTTCCTTTACAACCCCATCTATAAATATATTAAACAACCATGGTGACATTACACATCCCTGTCTAAGACCTACTTTTACCGGGAAGTAGTCTCCCTCTCTTCTACACACCCTAACCTGAGCCTCACTATCCTCATAAAAACTCTTTACCACCTATTCCATATACTTGCAACATCTGCCACATTGCTCCTCTGTCCACTCTATCATATGCCTTTTCTAAATCCATAAATGCAGTAAAAACTTCCCTACCTTTATCTAAATACTGTTCACATATATGCTTCAATGCAAACACTTGGTCTATACATCCCCTACCCACTCTGAAGCCTCCTTGCTCATCCGCAATCCTACATTCTGTCTTACCTCTAATTCTTTCAGTTATAATCCTACCATACACTTTTCCTGGTATACTCAGTAAACTTATTCCTCTATAATTTTTACAATCTCTTTTGTCCTCTTTCCCTTTATATAAAGAGACTATACATGCTCTCCGCCAATCCCTAGGTACCTTCCCCTCTTTCATACATTTATTAAACAAAAGTACCAACCATTCCAACACTATATCCCTCCCTGCTTTTAGCATTTCTGTCATGATCCCATCAGCTCCAGCTGCTTTACCCCCTTTCATTCTACGTAATGCCTCACGTACCTCCCCCACACTTACATGGTTGCCATCACATAATAGTACTGCTTGCTCACATTTCTGACTCGCAAAATTGTAATGATACGATTGCAAACAAACCATAGCATGGGCAGGCATTGAACTTGTGGCGAGTGAGTCATAAAACTCCAGGCTAAACTCCTGGAGTTTTACGATCCACTTTCCATGAGTTCAATCCCTGCCCATGGTATGGTTTGTTTACTCACATTTCTTTTCATAAAATATAATAAGAATTTTGTACATTTTAGAATACAGGGTCTTTGCCGTACCATTTGTTTATCATAGATTCATTTATAGAAATTAGGAGGTGTAGAGTTAATAAAAGTATTAGTCAGAGGGCTGAAGAGGGGTTGTTGAGGTGGTTTGGTCATTTAGAGAGAATGGATCAAAGTAGAATGACATGGAGAGCGTATATAAATTTGTAGGGGACGGAAGGCGGGGTAGGGGTCGTCCTCAAAAAGGTTGGAGGGAGGGGGTAAAGGAGGTTTTGTGGGTGAGGGGCTTGGACTTCCAGCAAACGTGTGTGAGCGTGTTAGGAGCGAATGGAGACGAATGGTATTTGGGACCTGATGAGCTGTTGGAGTGCGAGCAGGGTAATATTTAGTGAAGGGCAATGTGTGGGGTGAATATAATGCAGAGAATTCGTAGTTTGGAGGAGGAGGTGCGGGATTACCAAAACTGTTGTCCAGAGGGCTGAGGAAGGGTTGTTGAGGTGGTTCGGACATGTAGAGAGAATGGAGCGAAACAGAATGACTTCAAGAGTGTATCAGTCTGTAGTGGAAGGAAGGCGGGGTAGGGGTCGGCCTAGGAAAGGTTGGAGAGAGGGGGTAAAGGAGGTTTTGTGTGCGAGGGGCTTGGACTTCCAGCAGGTATGCATGACCGTGTTTGATAGGAGTGAATGGAGACAAATGGTTTTTAATACTTGACGTGCTGTTGGAGTGTGAGCAAAGTAACATTTATGAAGGGGTTCAGGGAAACCGGCAGGCGGACTTGAGTCCTGGAGATGGGAAGTACAGTGCCTGCACTCTGAAGGAGGGGTGTTAATGTTGCAGTTTAAAAACTGTAGTGTAAAGCACCCTTCTGGCAAGACAGTGATGGAGTGAATGATGGTGAAAGTTTTTCTTTTTCGGGCCATCCTGCCTTGGTGGGAATCGGCCAGTGTGATAATAAAAAAAAAAAATAATTCAGGGAAACCGGTTATTTTTATATAGCCGGACTTGAGTCCTGGAAATGGGAAGTACAATGCCTGCACTTTAAAGGAGGGGTTTGGGATATTGGCAGTTTGGAGGGATTTGTTGTGTATCTTTATATGTATATGCTTCTAAACTGTTATATTCTGAACACCTCTGCAAAAACAGTGATTATGTGTGAGTGAGGTGAAAGTGTTGAATGATGATGAAAGTATTTTCTTTTTGGGTTACCCTACCTCTGTGGGAGATTGCCGACTTGTTAAAAAAAAAAATTATAGATTTTTTTTTTCTCCAAAAAAAATTATAGAATTTTTTTTTCTCATTAACACATCGGCCATTTCCCACCAAGATAGGTGGCCCAAAAAAGAAAAACTTTCACCATCATTCACTCCATCACTATCTTGCCAGAGGCATGCTTACACTACAGTCATAAAACTGCAGCATTAACACCCCTCCTTCAGAGTGCAGGCACTGTACTTCCCATCTCCAGGACTCAAGTCCGGCCTGCTGGTTTCCCTAAATCCCTTCATAAATATTACCCTGTTCACACACCAACAGCAAGTCAAGTTCTAAAAACCATTTGTCTCCATTCGCTCCTATCTAACACGCTCGTGCATGCTTGCTGGAAGCCCAATCCCCTGGCACACAAAACTTCCTTTACCCCCCTCCCTCCAACCTTTCCTAGGCCGAACTCTACCCCACCTTCCCTCCACTACAAATTTATACACTCGAAATCATTCTATTTTGTTCTACCCTCTCTACATTCCAAAAAACCTCAACAACCCCTCCTCAGCCCTCTGGATAACAGTTTTGGTAATCCTGCACCTCCTAATTTCTGAACTACAAATTCTCTGCATTATATTCACATTACACATTGTGAAGGCTTACTCAGCCCTGTAACAGCTTCAGTAAGTATTACCAAGGCTGGCTCCTCCTCAGGAAAATTAATGAATAGAAAAAGAATGACAACAGTCAAATACAGTATAAACACTTTATTATTTAGAAATGAAAATATAAAACAATGAAATATGAATTTTTATCCTACTTGAAAGAGAAATGAAAAATGAAATATAAAAATAATATCTGAATTTTCAACGCTAATATGTACAGTTAGACTGGGGTGTCTGATGTTGTTGACACAGCGTGTTGTAGAAATTGTAGCCGTTGCTGATGATGGGGGGGGGGTCACAGATGTTGAGTGACAACCCAATGACTAGTTCTTCACAGAGTCTAGCCTTGAATAGTCCGTCAAGATGATAGGAATGCAGGTCTTTCACCACTGCAAAGATGAGAGGTAGTTGCCTGGGGTTGACTACACTTAGGTATGCAGATAAAATGGTGACGTCTCAGAACTTCGGTAAAGTTCGTCTCCTTCAACACTGTTTCTTTAGTTGCCAGATGACCCGAGCTGACATTCCAAGCTAGAAAGAGACAAAGGTTACCTACTGCTTAAGAAATCACTCTCCATGATAAGTACAGTATTTAAAAGAAATGGTGATTATCTAAAAGAATAACATGGAAATCAAGGCTGAAAGGACAAAGTTTATTATTTGTCAAAAGTGAAGCTTTCAACCAATATATCCACTAGAATAGGAGCAGAGGCTTTTACTTACAGTTGTGCTGGGAGCTGTGAGTCAAGCGATTACTATTTGGTCCGAGCCCCACATGTCACCTTTCCGGGTGGGGAAAAAGGGGGGGGGGATAGACTGACCCTACCTTAACAAGCAGCCGGGCAGTCAAACTATCGTCACCATATACTCGCTACTTCTATCTGTTGAACTTTTCCCTCACACACAGTGCCCTCAGACATGACATCTCCACTGCCTCCAGCCTTCTCCTTATTGCAACATTCACCAGCCATGCTTAGCACCCATATAAGAGCGTTGGTATAACTATGCTCTCATACATTCCCCTCTTTGCTTCCATGGACAAAGTTCTTTGTC